TTCTATTTCTTCTTTCTACCATGACGTTCTGTTGCAGTGTGTAAGGTGCCAAGAAGTTGTGATTTATTCCCTTGGACACCAGGAATTCGTTTAGAAGTCGATTTGTGAATATCGTTTCATTGTCGATTCGTATTTTTCTGATGTGAAGCTTTATATGTAGTTCAATTTCCTTGATGAAGTTTATCAAGTTCTGCGGTGTCTTTGATTTCAATCTAAAAACGAAAACCCATGTAAAACACATGTAGTCATCAACAATGACTAGGGTACACTTTTTATGATAGAGTCCTGCTACAGTTGATGGACCATAGAGATCGATATGAAGTAATTCTAAAGGTTTAACAATTGAGGAATCTAGAATCAACAGATGACTTCCTTTTGTTTGTTTTCCACACTCACAAGCTAGGCATAAAGTGTCATTGTCAATTTTTTGGAAAGGCAATCATCACACCATTTCTCCATTAACCAAGTTATTGATATACTAGAAGTTGAGGTGTGCAAGTCTATGATGCCATATCCCTTGGTAGACTTAGACTTAGAGACATTTTTATTATTTGGTGGATAAGAACTAAAAGTCAGTTTCTTTTCATATATCCAAATGGTATGTCTAGGTTTGTATTTTGGAACATAATCAACGGGTTTCACAAGATTTTTCTTCATTTGAGACTTTTCAGTAGTCTTGTCCTTTTGAATGACAACTGCGGTGTTTTCAATCATGACAATCTTGAGTTTTTTATCACTTATCTGCGAAGTTTTGTCCTGAGGAATAACAATCGCGGTGTTTTTTTTAACTAATTTGAGATTTTAAGACGTTGAGGGGCTTTGTGATCTGTTTGGAATTTTGAATTTTTGTCCTTATTCAATATTTTGCGAAGAATTGATTTGCATAGGTGTATTTTGAAAAGAGTTGTTGTATGCATACTTGTTTTGAAAAGACTTTTCTTGCACATAGTTGTTTTAAAAAGGTTTTTCTTGCGCGGAGTTTTGAAAAGACTTTTTCTTTGAAAAAATTGACCTTCTATTTTTTTGTAACCTTGAGACTTGACTCAACATTCCTTTTCTCTATGCGAGATTTAATTTCAACTTTTAAGACCTGTTTTTCTTCATCCTTTGGTGACAGAACATCTGATTTGTTCAATTTTGGTCTTTTGCTTTTAAAAAGTTTGGATTTCGGTATTGATCTGGGAGACGAGTCATCAGAACTGTCATGTTCATGACATCGAGAACATGGTTCAATTTCAAATTTGTCAATTCTTACTCCTTGTGGAAGATCTTGAATACTCATTTTAGATGTGACTGTGACTTTATCTTTAACAGGGATTTTGTTGGAAACCTCTATTTCTAATGAAGGATGTGACACTACAATGGGTGTAGTCATCACATGTTTCACAGTAGGGACATATTTTGGAGACAAGTCATGTCCTTGTAGAATGGTTTCTTCATCAACTTCAGATCCCGAGCCAGACCAAATAGTTCCAATGACAGGTATTGAGTGGAAATTTTCAGAGATTTCCGACGTTTCATGGAAGATCTCTTCGATCACACAGATATTTCTCAAGTCATGAAGTTTTCCAAGGTGACGTTGAATATCTTCGGCCTCAAACCTCGGTGGAGATTTCTCTTCGGTGTAGTAGCCATTTGACTAACCCCAGTTATAGGTATTGTCAGTGGATCTATTGTTCATAATATTATTGATTGCTTCTCTTTCAATGAAAAGTTATCTATCAATTGATTCAAACGTGCAATTTTGGCTCGGGCTAGATCTCGTTGATTGAAAGCTACATCTAACGTAGTTTCATTAAGCAACCTAACATCTTTTTCTAACAACAAACCCTTCTCAAGCATTGTGACCTTAAGCTTCTTGTCTTCTAGTCAACCCCTTAAGTGATACAGTTCTTGGGTCGCTATGTTCTTTTCATCTAAGGCTTTGTTATTATCTGTAAGGACGTCCACACACATGTGAGTAAGTTTTTCTAGGTGAGGTTCAAAATCTTTCATGTTGTAATTATTAGACTGTATCATAAACTTTATATGTTCAACGATGATGATGTTTCCTTCCTTTGACATGAAGCAGTAGTTCTTCTTCATCTTTGTTGACCCATCTTCATTGTTGCCTCCTTTCCTCGCAACAAGAAATGGTTTTTCTCGCTTCCTTTTGTTGTCAATCTCCTTGTCTTCATCTCCTGATGATCAAACTTGATGATCCCTTCATACATGATCCAAAAATACTTTTTGACTTTTCTTTCTCCTCCACTTATCGCACCATTCTCAGATAGTATGCTTTGTATTTCGTCATGTTGGCTTTAAAATCTCTCGCAGGGTGATTTTCCTTATGACATATGAGAACTCTGTCTTTCTTTTCTTTAGTGACAATCGAGGTTTTACAAGGTTTGTTTTCATGTGGAACTTTAGTAGAGTTAGTAAGCATCAAAGGTGTAGTTTGAGACTGCGATTGATATGGTGTATTTCGTGGATATCAGAATGGTTGAGTGTAGTGGTGAGGTGGGTTGTTCTGTGGGTTGTATTTGCGGTTAAAGGGAGGTCGAAAGTTTGGTGGTGGAAGTCTATTGAACTTTTGGCTTATAAGGCCAAGACATTTTGAAAGGCTTATTCATCATCAATGTCCATCTCCGGTTCATAAGACTACGGGGAGCTATCATATGAGTTTTGATATGAAAGTTCTTCGGTATGAGCATACGGTGGTGTTTTGTTAGCAAGTTGGGGTGAGTGGTAACTAAGGCGAATGGTCCACCAAGATCCATGTAGACCTTCATCGCCATAGATTCTTGAGCTTGGAGTTCACCGTAGATTTTGTATAGCGAGAGTTACTTGATCTTGCTATCTCCTTGAACTATCATCTTCGTTATCGTCCACTATTTTCCTAACCCATTCAAGGACTTCAGATTTTGTTTCATGATTACTTTGTACGGTACTTGAATTTTATCGTTTTGTGACGATGAAGTTGAATCTTTTGAAAGAATCATCGAAACTTTCTCCTAGAAGAGCTTTGAAGTTGTTGGAATCATTCATGGCGGTTGTAAGCCTTATGTCTTGAGCTTGTTCAGTTCCTTTGTAGAGATTTTTTAGGACATCCCATAGTTCTTTTGCCTATTCACAAATGACGATGAGATCAAACTGTCAGGAGGAACACCGTTACACCGCAATATATTTCATAGAAAGCGATTTCATCTTTCTCCATCTTGTCTATGTCACTATTAGTGGGTCAGGTCATAGCGACTTGACTGCCACCAAGTCTGGTTTGCGCTCGATCAGTGACAATAGATGTGAGGACAGGTATGTGGGGTCCTTTTTCTATAGATCTCCAAACTACTTTACCAAGTCCTTAAATACCTTTTCATTCTGTAAGACCAATGATGATACTCACTTGCAACAAGTATTGGAGCTCGATTTGAACCTCCAGCACTGTTAGATGTATTTAAAGAGTAAAGTTGTGCCATTTTCCGTTAGTTTTCTTTGAAAAATATGAGCTAAGTGGTATAGAAGGCCATTTAAACGAGAGTTTTTCTAAAAAAGATGAAGCAGATTTTATAAAAGTAAAAAAGCAACCACTATGGCTCTAATACCAATTGTTGATAAGAGAAATTAAGCTTGAGATTATGATGTGGAAATTAAAGTAAATCTATTGGATCTTTTGGTTAGCTTAACAATAACTAAGTGCAAAATAGGAGTGACAATTTATAACAAAAAAACAACAACAATAATACTAAATAAACATAAACAAGATAAACAATACTTGTTGGATATCATGCAAACACAAGTTAGTAAATGAAGAACAACAAATTATGAATGGAAAAGGAGACTTTCATTTCAATAACAGATTATAATGAAGATCAATATCCAAGACACATTTGTTCAATATCCCATACCATTTATTTATAGTTAAACATCGTTCTAGATAATCACTGAAAAGTACAAAAGGTATGGAGAACAAGCGGCCATGCTTGCCATGCATGTTCTGATAAAAAATACCAAATACTCAACGTCAGAAAAAGTTGAAGCACCAAAAGACAAAACACTTGAACTCTTCGCATAAACTCCTCTCCATTCTTCACACAACCATCTTCAGTCAATCAAATTCTTCATATATCAACCAAAACAAAATTCCTCACATCACTTGAATAATAAGATCTTCGCATAGCCAAAATAAAAACTTCGCACACTCCCCAAAAACCTATAGCTGCAGAGGGTCACTTTATGCTTCAACAATACTTATATGAGATACGTTCTTAAAGGCTTAAGAGTTTCATATTGCAAGCACTACTACAAAAAGAACCTTTTACGATGCACAATGTGTGTCGTAAAATGCTCAGACGACATGCAAATGCGTGTCAAGGAAGGCCCTGTCATAACGAAATACGACACGCATTTGCGCGTCATCTATTTACGACACGCATTTATGACGTGCATTTATGACACGTATTTACGACGCTCCTTTATGACACGCAATGTGTATCAAGGAAGCCCCTGTCATAAAGAAAGACGACATGCACGTGCACGGCGTAACCTTACGACACACCTTTATGACACGCAATGCGTATCAAGGAAGACGACACGCCCTTGCGTGTCGCAACCTTACGACGCGCGTTTACGAGACGCAATGCGTATCATTTAATCCACTGTCATAAATGAAGATGACACACATTTGCGTGTCATAATCTTCAACTGCGAGTGACGATACACATTTCCGACGTGCATTTACAATAAGCATTTACAACGTGAATACACATAATAAAAAAACAAATATATACCAAAACATTCAGTTTCATCTAATTGTCAAACAAGTTACCTAACATTACATGTCAAGTTACCTAACATTAAATGTCAAACAACACTACATGTCAAATGAGGATGCTAAGTAACATTTCACAAAGTTAACAAAAAACATGTACACCACATGTCAAAAGACCATTTCACTATTAACAAAAATATTGTTTTGTGGATATAAAATATCACCGGTAAATGAAGCCTGTAACAAACTCCGACTATTCTTGACATATTACATCGATATCATCATCGGTGTACTCAACTTTGCTACCCCCGACCTGAGAAAAAATTTGCATATTGTTTCTATTATAAAAAAATGTCATATTAACATATTCTGCAACAGCGAGTTGCTATATTTAACAAATAAACATAAAATGTAAATTCTTCTTTCTTAAAACAGCATTGTACTTTCAAATGAATGAAAGCACATTGTTATTTTTGCATGTAACCTAATATTTCAATTATAATTCTGAGAATAGGATGCCATAAAAGGATCCTTTTTCAATTCCTTTCCTATTAAATTATTATAGTAGTGAAAGTAGAATATTATATCCTTACATTGTCTTTTACCAACACTTCAATTCCTTCCTCAACTATCTCCTTCATGAACCTTAACATGTAGTAGCCACATTCGCTAGATCTGGTCTGAACTGGACACTACACAATTACATATAAATGATCATTGCAATTGATCCAAAAAATAAAGTTAAAGCTGCAATTTCAATAAGGAATTAAGTGCTGACCGTAACGTTGACCCGGTTTAGTTTAACCCTCTTGTTGGATCCACTTTGTGTAGCATACACAACCATTGCCCTATAATAAAACATTAACACATAGGTATTTATTGTATTCACATCAAATGTTTTGATAATTTATATTACTTACGAATCAACAATTTTCTTCAACTGCATATTGAAATTTCCAGATGTCAGGGAATCAAGATGATAGCAAGTATCCAATTTCATGTCTAGTACACCCAACACCCAATGTCTTCTACAAAAACCACAAACAAAATTAAGTCAAATAACGTAATTGCAGTCATTTTCAAAATAAAATGGCAAAATCAAACCCGAGATTGTAGGGCAATAGGATGATGTCATTGCCCTTTCTAGTAGACAAGTGATCTACAACACCTCGACTTGCATCATCAATATTCTTAGATTTCCCTTTACGCATACTTGGTGAGATTACAGTCGGGTTCACAAAGCAAGTTCCATGATCGTTTTCTGGCGGGCCATACTTGATTTTGTTAAACAACACCCTGTTATCATACAAACACTAAATTGATTAAACAAATTTTGGATCCAAAACTGTTATTTAAATTAAATTTCTTGCACTTACATCATATAAGACACAATGATAGCACCGGTCAGCTCATCCATTGTAAGAACTGCTTCAAAATCATCCCACTTTAAGTACGTGTAACTATCGTACCCAAAAAGATCGTTCTCACTCTGCACTTTTATAGAATCAACCTTTGTAACTTGTCCATTAGCCATCATTGCAGTCATTTTCAAAATACTACTCTTATCAATTCTAATCCTTGTCTTCATCTGTGCTCTGGTCCACCTTCTTTGCATGGTCACATTCCCTTCTTCCTTCTTTTTACTCTCCTTTTCTGTTCCATTCCCTTCTTCCTTATCAACCGTTTTTCCTGTCCCCTTTTCTTTCTTATTACTTCCTATTTCTTCTTTTAAAGGTGTTGCATCTTTTTTCACTAGTGTTGCATCTTTTTACACTGGTGTTCCATGTTTTTTCACAGGTTTCTCCACCACTTTTCCCTACAAATATTATAAAAAAAACAGAATGAAACAGGAAGTAGGAAACATAAACATGTTTGTTGCATGTGGTGTAAAGTGAAACGGAAAACAGGAGCATGTGTGGTGAATCATTTTAGAAGCTGAAAATGAACACTCAAATATCAGAAAAATTAAGAAAACCAAGGCTATATTCGGTATCTAATTTCAGTTGACTGTGTTGAGAGTGAAAATAGCATTAAATGTGTGTAAACTTTGTCTATTTTAAAGGCGGATCTGTAGTATCAGATGATGATGATGATATAAGAGGTAAGGTAACTAAAAAAGTGTTATCTTGTAAGGTCCCAATTCAAAGATCTAAACCAGTGATCAAAACAAACAAGAACAAGAATGAGTAGAATAAGAAGATTATCAAGCAATGCACACGTCTATTAGAAAAGAACGTCTGGTACAAACACACATCAACAAGTTACAAACACATCCAACATGACCAAGACCCTACCAAGACTTATACAGATGATTGCCTAGCCCAAACCACAAATCTATGACCTATCAATCTCCCCCTTGGTTTAGGGCTAGCATTGCTTCAGTCCTTCTCGATAATGAGCACATCAGACCTCCCCGTTAACCCATGCCACATCTGCTTCTCGATAATCTCAGCAATCATAGCAGTATACGCCTTGGTGGCGGCTTCAAAAATATCTTCAGCAACCTGGATTTGATGTTGAGCCAGATAATGTATATCGCATTTTCCAAATTGAAGCAGATCTTTCTTGTCAAAAATTAGAAATACACCTTCTGGGAATCTGATGACAGCGAAAGTTGTGGTTTCATCATAAACCCAGTAAAGCATACTCTTTAATGAACCATCCTGGAAGTTCTGCACAACAGGAATCTGTTTCATTTGTTTAGTGGGAGGCCACATCACCGTCTTAAAAGGCTCATTAGTCTTTGGATCCAGTGTATGCGGGAAGGTCTCGATGAAAGACTCAGCAGTCTTCATATCAGTAAAGCCCTTCTTCAATTGATCTTCCTGAAAATGCTTGAAATATGTTTCTTGTGATCATTGGATGGATTAGCAAAGGGAGCATTGGCAAGTTCAGACAAATCAAGCCTTGTCCATGAACAAAAGTCATGTTTGTCCTTGTAATACTCCACATATGAACTTTTACACTTCACAAGCCACAGTTTCAATCGGTCATCACCGTAAGTACCCTTGAGTTCACGGTGAGTCGGGGTTGATCTCCGCGAACGTTCTGATCTGAACTCCTTTTGAACAACCACCTTTGTTTTATAGAAGATGAAGCTTGTTGAGCTCGCTTCAAAGTAACTAAGTGTGGAGCTTGTGCTGGCTCATGGTCAAATCGATCAACTACCCGGGTTCTTCTTTCAGTGGGAGGATCAATAGGGGGTCCTTGTTTTGAAGCTTGGGCAAGGTCAGCTTTGCCTGGTTCTCTGACAGAAGATTTGAATTTGTCACTAAATGTCATGGCTAGTTTATCCTTGAGGTCGAAGTAACAGGCAGTTAGAGCTCCTAGGTGGGTCTGTAAATCGGAGATTTGTGTTGTCTTCAGAGAGTTGTCTGCCTTAAGCTCTGAAACTTGAGTTTTGAGGCTATCAATTAAAATATCTCTCTCAATGATTCTCTGATTTAACACACCCATTTCTTTCTTGAGGTCTTGGACAGATTGGTCCACTCCCTCTGAGTTGCCTTCCTCAATTGAGATACCTTTTCCGCGAGGAGGAAGGCCTGTTGCTTCTTGTTCAGCCAAGACCTGTGCAAGTCTTTCAGAAGCGATGTCATGATCAGGTCTTGGGAGGGAAGAACCTCCAGGAGCTAAAGAACTCCCAGTTTCTAAAATGGTTCTTGGTCCTTCTTGAGTATGAACAATTGGAGTAGAGTCTTGTGTTGTGATTTCAGGCTGAATCGGTGAGGTCTGTTGCCGAATTAGTACCCCCAGCCTCGGATCATGTCTTCTTCTCTTCAATGGAGGCTGGGAGGTATGTGTCACAAGCGGATCACTCACAAATGGCGTAGAAGTTGGAACATCAACATTAAGGGGAGGAATCCTTGACGCTGCATCCGTATTAATTGGAATACTGGCCATCTGTACAGAGGTAGGAGCCGTAGCTTCTTGAAAATTATCCACTTCCTGTGTCTCCGTTGCCGGTTGTACAACTTCATGGACATTGTCAAAGACGGAGTCAAGGTCCTCATTTGTGGGGCAATAGTTATCCGCAAAATCAAAATTCATTTCCACATCATCATATCTAGCCAAGTTACTACCAAAAATTGAGTCATCATTACTGAAACCCTCATCATTACCATCATCATCACCATCACCTCACGCGTCTTGACTCTTGTTGAAGTCACTTTGTACCTCCACATTGATCATGGTGTCATGTTCCTCTGCTACAATTGCAATAGTAGGAACTCTTTCTTCTTCATGCTCTGAGACGGTAATGACGTCGTCTTTAGATTCCAAGTGGTCAGAGGAATCACTGGACTCAGATGCATCATTCAATTCAACAAACGCCCCAAACTTCACCAAAGGGTATTTTCATTGGAACATAAATATACCCTTACGGTTCTGTTTAATTAACCCAATGGTGTTTGACCCAAATGATTTCATGTCTAAAGTTTCTCCTTCCTTTTCAATCTCCGGGAATTGTTTGTTGATGAGCAGCTGAAGGAACCTTGGGTACATGAGAAATTTATCTCTTGTCTTTCCTTTAATATTCCCGATAAGTTCGTTCAAGATGAACTTGGAGAAGTTGAAATCAAGTCCCGCAGCAAGAGCGGTGATTGCACTTGTGTTCAGTAAAGAGATTTCATCCGCTCCAGGTCTCCTTCCCGAGATGCAGCTCATAAATACATGAGCTAGAAACCTCCAGTATGGTGGTAACAGCTTCTTGAGGGTTGGAGGAAATTCTCCTTCATATCCCTTTTTACCGAGGAGTTCTTGAGCTTGATCCATTTCAATCTCGGTCAGGAAACTTGGTTGGTCTTCAATTCTCAGAACTTCCCGGATGATCTGCTCTGTTGCAATGACCTTGCTTCCTTTAACAATAGCTTCAACATACATTTAGCCATCATTCCCCTTTTTCACTACTACAGTCTTCTAGAACTCTTTAATCAAGCTTTGGTAGATCACTGGATTTAGAGTCAGAACAGTAGCTAAGCAGCATTTCGTCAAACCATGGATCATGGACTTGAATTCACCATGAGCTGTTGGAGGGTGAACCAAAAAGATCGCCAAATTGTGACTATCAGCAAACTTGAGTCCATCCATTTTGATCTGCACTTAACCAAGCCAAGTGAGAAAACAATTTATTTAATCATTTAAGATTAAGGTTTTACTCATGAAATAGTTTAATTAGGCTTTAATGGTGACTAAGTGTTAAAAATAGTATTTAATGTCCAAAAATTGAGTGTACGGTCAGATAGGGAGTTTACGGCCGTAAACGGGTGTACGGCCGTATGCCCTTCAATGGTCGAAAACAGCTCAAGAACCATAAACGCCGACAGTTTCAATTTCTTCGATTAATCCTTCGATTCAAGGTCGTTTTACTGTTAAAATGACATTCTTGTGATCGCAATGGGCATACCTACAAACATAAACAATCAATTTCGAGTTAAGAACATAAAATTAGATGGATCGATGAACAGCTTATGAGAGGCGTCGAAGGTGTTTACGGCCGCAGGAGAAAAAAATGAGAGTAAGGAGTTTACAGCTGAACTCAACACTATATATACCCGGACCCAAGACCCGGTCCAAAAACCATGGACTACAACCCAAAATCTTCAAAAATTAACCCCAATACCCAAAAACAATTAATTAAAAAATAATTCATTTTGAGGACTAAAAAATAAGATAAAATAAAAATAAAATAAAACAAATTCTAAAAATTAAACTAAACTATTTTTTAATTTTTAATTTTTGATTTTTATCAAGATAAAAAGAAAAATAAAAATAAAATTTGAAATTAGAATGAATTAACACTAATTTCACCTCAACTAACGCTAATAATATTTTTATGACATTGGGATCAAAGTTGTTAGACAGTCCAAATCCGTTTATCGATACCTCTACCTTCATGTCTAGATCTGGTCGATCGCCAGTATTGTGGTCCACTTAAACACGAAAGATTGTGACAAATTTTTTGACATACTATAAATGACAAGGCATTGTGACCTTACGTTTCTAGATAAAATTCCTAAGGACCATTCATCTGACGATGACCAAAGATATTGTTGTCCACCTAAATTGAGCAGCGAGATCTACAGACAACCTAGTGGTTGTTCAATTTTAAATGTACTAGAACATGTTTCCCGTTTCCTAATATAACCCAATAATCAGGAACTTCCAAGGTACTCCTTACTTTAGGTGATCAGACAATTATTATGGGAGAAGTCAGATTTAGAATGCATGTGTTGTACACCTAGGTCGGATCTCTTCCAATCTCGCAGAGGGTGAAACATATGACTAACCAGATTTAGAGGGATTGAGAAGTAGAATAGTGCATATGTTGTGTACCAGGTCGGATGTATTTCAATAACGCAAAGGAGACAGCATATGGCTAACAGATAGGAAGAATTGCATAGATAGAAGATGCAGAGAAATAGAATTGCATATGTTGCAGTCCAGGTCGGATGAATTTCAATCACGCAGAGGAGGAAACATATGACTAACAGAAGGAAAGCAAGAAAATAATTTCCTACAGACCTACTTTATCGGAATTCCCCAGTCGCCCCGTCAATCCCGGAATTAAGGACAGAGTCCGTACATCGAGGAAGAGTTAAACCACGATTCTAGATACAG